AGAATGAGGTAGTGGTGAAGCTTGGTCTCAAAGCATGAATCCACACTGACTGGAAACTTGTGTCTGCATTTACAACCTGTCACAAAATACCACACCTCTCACTTTTGGGCCTGTTCAGATGATAACAAGCTATTTTAGCACTCAATTTCTGTTCATCTGTCTAGTATCTGCCACTCCAAGAACACTCCCCTTCCCTATAAACTGACTGGCTGAAATATTGTTACCAAGAGAAGTCCCACTCCTGCTCAGCCTCCCATCTGCCTCTGTTAGATGGAGATTTTATTGTCTTATCCTGTATGAACACTGTCTGTAATGTGTTCATAGAATTATAGAATCATAGGGTGTTTTGGGTTGGAAGTGACCTTAAAGATCATCCAGTTCCACTCTCCCTTCTGTGCAAGGGACACTTTTCAATAGACCAGGTTGCTCAAAGTCTCATTCAATCTGGCCTTGAACACTTCCAGGGATGGGGATGGGGGACTGTTCAATACAGTTCAACTCAGCCCAGTTTGGGCCAGGGAGTAACTGTGTTTTCATGCAGGTTAATGGGGTGCAGTGGATGTCCTCTGAACCTGGAAGTCACCATTACAGTAGATGTGTTAGTAAAAAAAGGGCTGTATTGGTACACAGCAGGATAGAGGATTCCCTTTACCCTATGTCCAGAAATAAAAGATGTATTTTATCAGCATTTTTAAAAGTATCCATGGATTTAAACTTGTTTGGGACAAATATGGGTTGAATAAATTGAATTTGGATTTTGAGTAAGTTAAACCTGGATTTCATCCTCACAAAAATATTGAGAAGAACACAGGTACCAAGCTCTCATGGAGAGAGTTGCTGAGAGAAACTATTTATAATTTAATTACTTCATTATAAGAAAAGCTATTTAGAGCGGTATTTAATGTACTTTTAATGCAAATATATGATAATTGATGTCAAACATTCAAATACCTTTGCTTTGTAAACACAGGAGTGGAGGCAGACCTGTCTATATTGCTGGACCAATTGCTACCTACTGGAGATCCAGAAGAATGCACAGAGAGGGCTCCTTGCACCTCTGGTTTTACATCAGGTGCCCATACTCTGTTCTCTGCCCATGGCTGCACAAGTCACACAGGTTATAAAGAGGTTCAAGTGGAAACATGTTCCACCAATTCTCACAAAAACCCAGGCCATTGTCCCTGTCAGAAAATTTGTAGTAGTCTGCAGGAGAAATTACCCTGCCAGACTATGTCTTTTACTAGCAAGTTTTGCTGCCAGAACTTTTGTGGGAACATGAGTTGCTGGCATTTTTATGTCCCTGGAGCATGTGTGTTCATCACTGCTTTCTTGAGATGCTGCATGCCCTTGCTGCAAGAGGCTGTAACAGCAGAAGGGCTGCTGCACACAGGGCAGGGACCCAGGGCTCACAGTTGCCGACATCGCCGTGCTCTTGGAGCATGTGTACAGTGGCATTTTGCTACCAGCTGTATGTTGGTGGGTGTTGTTCAGAGAGGAGATTTCCCTTTGGCAGGAGAGGATCCAGTTGGCTTGCATCAGCTTAGTATCAGAATGCATGGAAACTTGAGGCAACTAATGCTGAGTTCTGATAGTAAACCTGCATTGCACTGGACATGCCTGAGTTAAGACACGTCTCAAGCAAGTACACCCTACCAACCCACTGCTCTCAGCTGATGATTTGGTCGTGATACCTGAAAAAAAATGAGTCTCTGACACAGCAGCAGAAAAGCAAACAGAACTGTGTAAAAAATACTTGCTTTGAATTGCTTGTTATTTTTCTTTCACAATGTCCCTATTTTTTCCCCATTCTTTTCACTATTAGGATGTATTTATTTGCTGCTAGGCTGCCTCAATGGAGACATTTAAGTCAGGGTCAAGCTTAAATGCTTCTTCCTAGAAGGAACTGAAAAGCATTGATTCTTTGAAACTTCGGACTATTTGTTTTCAGCTCTTTTAACTGGAAAATAAGAGGAAATAAGAGCTAAAGTTTGCATTAATTAGCAATCCATATTTACCTGCCTACAGTGCAAAGCAACAAAGAAAAACTTTAAATGAAGAAAACATCTTCTAGTGGTACTAAAATCCAATGTGGACCTAGAGGAGGCTTTTGGGAGACTGAGAAAAAATAAAAAGTGCTTTGCCAAAGTAAATAAATGTCATAAAATAAAAACTGAGAGCATACTTCTAAACAAGGGTAACTGGTATATTGGTAATTCCTTCAGTCAAGTACAGTGTGCTCCCACTTCAAACACCTCTGGTATTTGGACCTGTACTGGCAGCTTTTCAAAGGAATCTCCTACTTTCTTCCCTCCCCCTCCCCACTTTGCATAATAATTAGTATGTGAATATGCTTGTGATTTCTTATCATTTTTTTAATGAAGTCACATTTCAGAGACTTCAACAAAGTTTGGAGCTCCACCAAAGCAGTTCTTGGTCCAAAAACCATGCAGTCTAAACAGAGTGGAAAAACAAAGCACAGCGAAATAGCATCATCCATCACCCCCATCCTGTGCAGCAACTGTCCTATCAGAAGAGATTCAAGATGCATTCAGGCACTATCCTATGCCTAGCAGCACACTTCACCAGTTGCTTCATATGCTATGTAATAGAAAGTGAAAAAACCACAGTAGTAAGAAATGTCATCTATCCTCACTTTAGGTTCTATTCCCCTTTCCATGAGTTAGATACCAGCTTATTCCTTGAAGCACCAAACTACAATCAGATAATTCTGATTATTTTTGACATTCATATATATCCAATCCCTTTCTTGAATATTATGTTCTTGACTCTGAGACTGTTACTAGCAGTATAATCACAGCAATCTTGTAAAGATGCATCCATACAGGGACCTTCAAGCACCTGACAGTCTTTACGAGTTCAGGAGCATGCAAGATGGATGACACCAGCGATTTCTGGATGGTAGGGCTAGGATTTTGCTTCTGTGGCAAGGACAACAGGAGGAAAAAGCAAGCAATCCAAAAGTCCTGAAGCTGCAAACTAAAGGAAAACAAAAGTATTTAGTGAATAATGCAAAATAGGAGAAAAGCATGTAAGAGATGGGTGTAAGGGAAATACCTTTCCCAAGGCTAAGTGGGTATTGATGTATTTCAAACCTGTAAACAGATGTATGCGTGCTGCTGGCTGAAGAGGCTTGAGGGGTGGAGCTCTAGGTTTGTTGTTATGCTTCTTTATTTGCTCTTATTGCTTCTGTGGCAAGGACAACAGGAGACAAGAACAGAGTGCTCTCTACCCTCTGACCTGTGATTAATGACAGAGACACCAAGATATTTCCATCCTTCTGACTATTCGATGGAGGAGAAAAAAGATGGCCTATTATCACTCATCCTTTTGACTTCTTGGCTGTGGAAGGATTAACAAAGGGAAAAACTAATGGGAAACCAGGTGAGGGAAGTGATTTAATTATAAAGGGAGCAAACAAAATCACTCCCAGGAATCAACCAAAATCCTAAATTCAAATACTGCCAGTACCGTTTTACATGAGCTCGTTCATGCAGACCTGTCCAATGTTCTCTCTCATTGGAAGTAAAAAGGAAGGCCGCATTTTGATTTTTAAGTTCAAGGTGTTGTGGGTGCAACAGCCAACCTTTGAGGATAGAATATTTTCTTGCATGACTTTCACTACTTAATCACTGTGTGTATCTCTTTCCAGGGATACAGTCCTAGATGAATGCTTACGGCTTATAGCAAAGAATATATAGAATGTGCAGGAAAGAGGCAGCTAGACAGGCAGATCTATGACAGACTTTTACTTGTGTAACATTTTTATTGAATCATTTATTTTGTTACCCTCAATGGAACAGGACTCTCAAGGACTGTGGCACTTGGAGAAACATATTGTTGCATCCCACCAGCATGCTCCCTGATCAGTATTGTAGAGGACACAGTCCCATCTGCAAAAATGTACCATTATGATTCTGCACTGAAAAATACAAGTGAAAAAATACAAATGAGTCACCTCAAATAAACGGGTGGAGGAGTCAGGTTGGCTCGAACAGCCATTATCTTATAATAAGGTGTTTCAAATCCCTCCTCAAGGTACACACCCATGAAGCTCATTAGTATAACAGTCATTTCACTGAGGCAGAAAGTTCATGAATATTGGAATACTGTGTTGAATATTCGAGGGAAATTTTTCACTGTCTTCTTGCTACAGCAGCTTTTTGGAAACGCACCAAGGGCTTTGATCCTAAAAACACTTACCTCTAAGCACCTGGGTAGTCCCATTGACTTTAACAGAATCAAACGAGAGCTTTAATTCAAGTGTTTGCAGATTAAGACCCATGTTTGTAATTTAAGATCTTATCTACAGAAGAAGTTGCACTCATTTACCTAAGTGTTTTTATAAACACACCTTGATTTAAGTGAGTGCAATGTTACTTGTGCAGGCGGCCACCATCTAAGGAGTGGTGGCCCTACCTCGGTTCCGAACAGCGTGAAGGCAGCAAAGGCTCTCAGATAGCTGGAAACCATCAATGAACTACACAAGAATAGCCATGCTCTGAAGTACCGAGGAGAAGGACGCTGCCAGCAGGAAAGGCTTCCTTCGCATGCTTCATCCATTGTCCGTGTGCCCTTGCACCACTATCACACCTACTCTGTAAAACCGCAATCATAGCGGTCATCATAGAATGGTTTGGGTTGGAAGACCCAAAGACCATTTCGTTCCAAACCCCTCTGCTATAGGCTGGGACATCTTCCACTAGACGACCTTGCTCAGAGCCCCATCGAACCTGGCTTTAAACACTACCAGGGATGGGGCATCTACCCCTTCCAGTGCCTCTGAGGGGAGTGCTCTCACTCCCCCGCAAGGGCTGGTGAGGATGGATGAGAGTTTTCAGGCCTCCGGGGACTGGAGGCATTTCCCGAGCCGGGCCCGCCGGCCTCGGGGCGGGCTGCGAGGCGCCACGGGCGGGCACCGCGGGCACCGGCTGGGCCGGGCTCGCCCCCGCCCGCCCCCGCGGCGGCTCCTCCTCCCACCGTCCGCCGCCGGCCGGGAGCCAGGGCTGTGCCGGCGCCGCCGCCCGATCTGCGCGGGGAAGGTGCGTGTTTGCTCTGCCCACCGCCGCCTCCTCCTTCTTCATCTCCTCCTCCTCCTCCTCCTCCTCCTCCTTCTCTCAGGGAATCCCCACTCTGGAAGCGCTCCCCCGGCGCCCATCCGCCGGGCTGCAGCGTTCACCCGGGGGCCGCGGCTTCGGCTTCGGCTCGGGCTTCGCAGAGGGGCACGCCGGCCACCATCGCCGGCGCCTCGGCGGGGCTCAGCCCCGTCTCCTTCTCTTGCCGAGGCCTCTCTTTAAAGCCGTGCAGCGTGTGGTGCCCCCTCGCCTCCGAAATGGGGCCCTCGGCCGCCGGGCCGCAGCCCCGCGTGGTACCGGGCCAGCCCTGCCCCGGGACGTGTGCTGGGGACCCCAGCCCGGCCCACCTCGCTGAACCCACTGTCCGCCCTTCGCCGGAGGGGTGACTGACACTAGCAAGGTCGTCCTTCAGGAGCACGGACATGCCATCGCGTGACACAGCGGATAAGAACCTGGGGGTGCTGGTCGACAGCCGACTGAAAATGAGCCAGCAGTGTGCCCGGGTGGCTAAGAAGGCCAAGGGCATCCCGGCCTGGATCAGGAATAGTGTGGCCAGCAGGACCAGGGCAGTGATTGTCCCCCTGTACTCGGCACTGGTGAGGCCTCCTCGAGTGCTGTGTCCAGTTCTGGGCCCCTCACTATAGGAAGGACATTGAGATGTTGGAGCAAGTCCAGAGAAGGGCAACGGAGCTGGGGAAGGATTTGGAGCACAGGCCCTATGAGAAGCGGCTGAGGGAGCTGAGGTTGTTTAGCCTGGCAAAGAGGAGGCTCAGGCGTGACCTTAGCACTCTCTACAACTGCCTGAAAGGAGGGTGTAGCCAGGTGGGGGTTGGTCTCCCAGGCAACGAGTGACAGGATGAGGGAACACCAGGGGAGGTATAGATTGGACGTTAGTTAGTTCAGAGGAATTTCTTCACAGAAAGAGTGATCAGATGTTGGAATGTACTGCCCAGGGAGTTGGTGAAATCGGTGTCCCTGGAGGTGTTTAAGGAAAGACTGGACGTGGCACTTTGTGCCATGATCTGGTTGACGTGGTGGTGTTCAGTCATAGGTTGGTCTGGAAGATCTCAGAGGTCTTTTCCAACCTAATTGATTTTGTGATATGAAGTCATTGTTTACACTCTTGTTCCTCTTAGTTTAAAAACAGATATGGACCCAAAGTTGAAGTTGGCAGTCACACAGTGCTTGGGGGATGCATGATCGGTGTTAGGCGAGACAGGGCGCTCTGCTGTGATCCTGAAATGAGCAGAGTTGACAGCAGTCACTGACCAAAAGCTGCGTCACTGCAAATAGATAAACCCCATAAATACAAATGAGAGCATTAGATATTTAAATACATTTTATGGCACACCTCATAGTGGAGAGGTCCCAGCATGTAAAGTGGTTTAGTGCTTCAGAGTAAGAATTTCTAGTAACTAGTAACCATTAGGTTTGTCTTGACAGGTCTTCATTCTTCAAAGACCACCTTTTTCAATTTGATGCATAGAGGAAAAGTATATAAAAGAAGCATTTTTTATATGTAGATACAATTTTTATGTATGTGAATATGCATATACATATTTTATAGAAGTACTAAAATGTATATGAGTGAGAAGAAAGTGAGATACAAAAAACCATGAAAAAATGTAAGGTCAATGGGCTGAACAGATTTGACTAAGGAAGCATTAGATACGAAGGAGCCTTTTGAATCTGGTGGTTATGTCTGACAAGTTACAAGTCTGCTCAGAATTATGAAAAAGCAGATTCAAAACACAAGGACAAGAATTCTGTTTGCTTGTTAGTTACTTATTTCTTCCTTCAGACTGTAGTGTTTTGGGGACCTGACTTTCCTAAGTGCTACATGAGCACCAGAAACACCTGCTCAGACAGTGCCATACACAAGAAGCACCTAAAATCCTACTTTCTTGTTTAGTGAGCCTTAATTTTCAAAATTTTGTCTGTCTGTTGTTTTCACTGTTCAAAATTAGGTTGGTGTTACTGTTTCTGGAGGTACTTCCAAGACTGTACGAGTGTTGTAATGTACTGGTGAAAGGGGAACATGTGAGGGTTTCTTCTTATGAAGCATACTTGGTACAGCTGTAGAACAGACTCTCTGTGTGCGAATGTAAAGACTGCTTATATCTTCATCTATCTAAAATATCTCTATTTTAGCTTGAGAAAATTCATAAGATTTAACTTACGGTGACAAAAGTTGGCCTTGATTTTGTTCTGGTTAGTTTTCTGCCAGGATGAAGGATTTTATTAAAAGTCTTTCTCATGCTTACCTACTGTCAGTTCTTAAAATCACCTTCCAGTGTTGTCTGATGCTCCCTCTGTTAAAACCTCAGACATTTCTTTCCACAAAGAAACCCCTCAAAGCCTGCCATGTATATGAGAGTTCTTACGTCCCTTTTTTCCTTGTAAATTTTGTCTCGTTCTCTTAGACATATCCACCCTATCTTGGAGAGCATTTATAAGTTGTGCCTTGGAATCAGTTTTACTTTACTCAAACTTCTATCTTTCAGCTGAAGTCTGTGCAGATAAACTTGGATCAAAGCCACCACAGCTTTAGAGATTCATACAAAGGCTTTGTCTTAACCAATCTTGTTTCTTAGTGTTTAAAATATATATAATTCTTTTGAACAGCAGAACAATAAGATACTAAATCAGATAAGAACAGATTGCAAATCTGGGCTGGGAAGGAACAACCTGGCATTGACCCCTGTTGGGAGACATCTGTTAGAAAAAGCTCGTATAAATTCTTACTTGTTTTATAACACATTTTTGCAAATGCCTGCATGTCTTTAATGCCAAGTTGAGAAAGGAAGCAACTTGCAATATTGCTATTGATACAATTGCACAAACTCATAATGCACATGAGATTCTTTTATCTATTCCTGCTGTATTTTACGAAACTTCATGTCTTCAGATTGAAAACTTTGCCTTGTCATTTTTTCCTTCCTTTCCAGTTGTGGGAGGATGAAGGATGACAGTACATGTAAGAGATAGCAGCTGCAGGGGTGAAATATTTTGCTTAAAGAAGTACTTTGTGCGTAGAAATGTACTAAATGATTACAATCTCGAAGCTCTACAGTTCTTTCTGTTCTGTCTCAACAGGAAATACTATCCGTCAAAAACTGCATTGCAGTAATCTTTCACGTTATGTTACCAAATGTCTGCAATAATTTCAAAGTAGTGAAATAAATGTAAGTTCTTGCTTCAGTTGACCTCAAGTCACTTATGTTCTGTGATGGCAATAGTGAATTTTTAGCTCCAATTTGTAATCTCTTAAATGCCAATTACTTGATTAAGTCAGTATTTCTGACAGAATGTGTGGAGAATGCTTTGCTTTTTTTTGTTTCAGTTTTACAATAGAAGAAAAGATTGTACATCAGCTTGAGAAAAATGTTAACCTTGTTAGCCTGTAGTTTTAAAAAATGATAATTTGGGTGCCTTGATCTTACAAGAGACTTGATTTCTGTTTTTGAGATAGGGAGAATGGACCAATGTGTGTAGGTTTGCCTTTAGTTTATTTATTCATTTATTAACTTATTTTTTTATTTAATGGAGAGTATTCAGACACCTGGCTCATTTGGATATTTTTTTTCCTGTACTGGTATTAATAATAGTAACATTTTCTCAAACTCTTTTAAATCTAATTAACATGGATCTGTTTGATGAATTTTCCCCACAGTGGGTGAGAGAAAAATGGGAAAATCCCTTTGGTGCTGTTGCTGCCAAGAGGGATTTGGTAGAAGTACCCAATGAACAGATATATGGATTAAAATACATCTCTAAGACTTTATTTATACATTTTGGTAAAATTTTTCTCTGTACTATGCACTGCAATCAGAGGTATGGCAAAAGACCTATGATCTTAAAACATGACTTTAAAAGATACTAATGCTGTTTTAAAAAAGAAAAATGTCACTCAATATCTTAATTCTCTAAGATAAATTTTAATTCAAGGATCTTTATGTTATAGTGACAAGAGGTTAATCGCAGGTCACCTAACATTTCTTGCATCGCAGGAGTTATAAACAACTAAGATTTATTTTAAACTTGCCTGAGTGACCATCCTGCATTTGGTACAACGGTGAGTTTTTGCCAGATAAGGATTTGCCCAAACTTGTCTTGTGACCCCACAGATGCAGCATCTTGTGCAACTGAGAATTGTTGTGACCCTTTTGAAGCCTGTCTTAGTACTGATATGAGTGTTCTGATTTTAAGTCTATGTGTGCTGTTTGGGTTTTTTTCCTTTCTTTTTCTCTAGTTACTGGTTAAGGTGCCTGATCTTAAATGTAGTGATAGTACATTTCCTACTAGAACACTCTATATGAAAGGGAATGAGACCACTCTTCCACCCTTCTGCAGATTTTCTAGCTTTCATCTGCTACACATACATTGATATCCTGTGCCTTTAATTTTTTCTTAGTTTTTTTTCAGAAGAGGCACTTGACTGTGAATTTACCTAAGACAAGTGAGTCAAAAGTAATTTCGTGTTTCAAGTGGCTCCACAAAAGGAGCTTATATAATATTATGCATGTATCAATAGTCATTTGAGAAAGAAATGTGGGGGTTTTGAGTTCTTAAAATCAGATCTGAGCCTATTGACTCCAAAGGGAAAGCATCCACTATTTTATCTGTAACGTTTGCAGACCAAAGCATAAATCTGATTTATCTGTAGTGGTTTCCCCATCTACTCAGCACAGGTTTTGAGATTAGCGTTTCTGATCCTGTTGATTCTGAGTCACTGGGCTCACCTTCTGTTTCTCTCTGTCATGTTCTCCTGTACAAGACATGAGTGCTCTTCTGTGGCAGACTGTGAAACACTTTCTGGAGTTTTAGTTTAATAAAATTTTCTTGTTGCTGTGGAAGCAGAAAGAATTGTAAGTTACTAATTTCTTAAAGATTGATCATAGGATCATTTTTAAGATTGATTCTGTTTCCTGCTGTGGGCTGTTAATATTTTCTCTTATGACAACTAG